TGCTGCATTTCATTTAAGAATGGTGCTTCTCTTCTATTCTGCAGCTGAGCTTTCTGAAAGCCTTCCAAATTATTTGAGGAAAATACAGCCCCTAGGAACTCTCCTCAGAACAGAGGCATTAATTATTTTAATGGTAACCCCTAAGTGGTAAATCAATCTTGAATTCAATTAAACGAGTACATGGAATAAACACAAAGGGAAATCTTTAAATCTGTCATTTCTATGGCATAGTAAATGAAAACCACATTTCGGCTCTTCCTGAGATACTGCTTATTTTCTTTAAGAAAAAAACATGCTTCGTGCGCTGAGCACAGGAAATTGGAGACAAGGAGACGGGCTGCCATATGATATACATGTATGGCACTGGAACATACATGTATGGCACTGGCACAGGTTGCCCAGAGAAGCTGTGGCTGCCCCATCCCTGGAAGTGTTCAAGGCCAGGTTGGATGAGGCTTTGAGCAACCTGGTGTAGTGGAGGGTGTCCCTGCCCATGGCAGGGGGGTTGGAACTGCATGGTCTTTGAGGTCCCTTCCAACCCAAACCATTCTATGATTCCATGATTCTATGTCCTTACACACGTGAAATCGAGTGAGCAACGAGAAGATTATGATTATGGCCAAGAAACTCTTTTGACAGTGATCCACTAAGTGCTGCCATCGGCCGATGGTGTCCGCGGTGCCGCCGCACTGCCCTGGCGAGCGCCGCGACCAGCACGCGGTGCAGGACAAGCCCCTTCCAAGCATGGGGGGTCCGTGCCAGGGACACGGAGGGGCTGTGCAACACTGCGCACGCTGCCCCGAGCAGCCCCAGCCAGCGGCACCGCGGGCAATGCTGGCATCGAAGGCAAAGGGTGGTGTTTGAGGTTGGAAAAACACATTATTTATCCTGCTCCCCCAATTTACACCGTAAAAATAGCTGGGAGAGAAGGTCCAGGCAGGTTCTCCATGAATCACAGGGCTGCAGCATCCAGAGATTTGCTCCTGATTTACACCTATGTGGGTGACAGCAGAGACCAGAAGGGCATCGGCTCAGAGGTAACGGCACAGAGATCCTTTTGCGTTTCCAACTATGACACTCAGGTCTGAAAATGGGGGAAGGAAGAATAAAAATCTGCTGATAGGAGGAGAGAAAGAAAAATAGTGGGATGCATGTGCAAATTCTGACATTTGTTACGCAAAGAGCAACTCCACCAGGGAGGAAAGAGAAATTCATAGGTGAAGCTTGACTGGTGGAGTAAACACAACTCCAGTAAAAACAAGGCTTCTTCGGAAAACCACAGCTGGCCTCACGCCTGCCAGTGCCGTCTTTGCAGCCTGGAGAACATGCAGGAGAAGGCTTTTCTTCCCTTTGCTTCGGGAAAACAACTGCAGAGGGGAAAGCTGCTGGATTACAGCATCCTGAGCTCCCACTCCAGTCCCTAACCAGGAGCTAAACGAATCGGTGCTGGTACCCAGCAATGGCTCAAAGCACAGCTGCAAACACACGCCGAGGCAGGGCGAGGTGGGCTGGGGAGCGGAGAGCTTCCAGGCAACTATCCCAACACTCCAAGAAAGTATGAGTGGCATGGAGGGAGTCAATAGGGAATGAATGATCTGTCATCACGTCTCGTAACACAGGAACTATGTGGCACCACATGTAATTACGAGGTGACAGGATCAAAGCAAACCTGGTAATTTTCGAGGCACTCCTCCACACAGTGCTCCGGAGAGCTGGAGCTCTTCAACACAACTTCTCCGGAGCCCAGAGCCTGGCACAGGCTCCAAAAGCATTTACACCGATTTGCAGAGGTAAAAATCCATCAAGAACCATCAGACACGAGATACAATCCTTAGATCAGGATGCTTAAATCTACAGACTGCTGGAAGCAGGAGCACGTACCAGCAGGAACATCACCGGGTACCTGCTTTGCTCGTGCTGAGCAAGTGCTCTGAGCTTCCCCAGCTCTAAACCTCTGCTCCTGGGCAACGTCAGAGAGGGCATGAGCTACAGCTTCGGTGTTGGCACGCTTCAGTTTTCCTCTTTCTTTCCTCTGCATGTTTTGAGTGCCCTTGGGGGTTGCCCTGTTTATGGCCAATGCTACTGTGCAAGTTACTTGCCTAATCCATACTACTCATTTTGTTTAAAAAAAGAGATGCAGCTTTTAAAATCAGCAATTAATGCTATTAATAAGAATAGAAAAGATTAACAATAAATACATGAACAAGTAAGAACAGATATTTTATTCTAACTCACTAGCTCACTCTCTGACCCAAAGAACACACTTGCACATTTTCTCATTGTAGATGTACAAAACAGAAGGAACAACCCAGCTGGTGCGAGCGCACCGTGCGCCGGGCAGTGCCCACAGCCCAGCAGTGCCCACAGCAGTGCCCACAGCCCAGCGGTGCCCACCGCAGTGCCCACAGCCCAGCGGTGCCCACCGCAGTGCCCTGGCTGTGCCCGCCTGCAGGAGCCTTCCCCGCTCCGCAGCTCCAGCGCGGGACGAGAGTGGAACATGCCACGCGCTCCGGAGCGCGGTGCAAAACCACCCTGCCCACGGAGAGCCGGCGACTCGCGGGCTTCACCAATTCCTTCCCTTTGCTTTCGTTTTTCCAGGAGCGCCAAGACAAAAGAAACCCCAAAATTCAAAGCAGAATTTAGTGGAACTGCTGGGATTTTTCTTCCCCCGTACGTATGAATGCATAAATCAGCTCAGGGCACTCCAGACGATTTCAGGTTTGCAGGAAACATGACCTAGTTCTGCCTGGGAACGGCGAGCGGTGAAAGCAGGGGAGGTGGGTTCTGGGGAGCAGACCCCGAGGAGGGGCACGGGCTGTGCCCAGCAGCACCAGGACAGGATCAGGCTGCTCCCGCGCTGCGGCACCGGCCTGGCCGGCCCCAAGTCACCACGAGCTCTTTGGATGGGACCTGCACTGCACCACGTGCCTGGGCTCCGGGACACTTTGGCTGCTCCTGGTGGGAACGGGGGCGGGTCCAGCCGGGGCTGTCCTGCCTGCGTCCCCGCGGATGGGCTCACTGCCCACGTGCACACCCCGCACTCGAGGACTCATCCATCTTCCAAACCTCCTGTCCTGAGACCAAATAGGAGCAGTGCCACCTATAACCGGGCATCCTACATGAAGTCTGAACTGGGAAGTGTGGAAGCACTGCCAGTGTTGTTGGAGAACGTGTAACCACGCTGCCCTAGCGTATTTCCATACATTCATTTAACTCAGTATGAAAAACACTGCGATAAAAGGATTTAAAAGTCATTTCTAGTCATACAGAGACCGTGCCCACAACGATTTATCTCGGGTTTAAACTACTAAAAGCTGCATACATTATTTTCCTTTAAATTTTAAATAACCAGAGTAATTAGATCTTCATCATGCCACTGATAGAAGAAAAAAAAAAGCCTTTCTCAGTGCCTGGTGTATTGACTCCTTAAATTTCAGAGCACTTTTAAACATCTGGCAGAGTTTTGTCAGCTGTACAAAAGGGAGCAAGTCTCCTTAAAGTAATAAAAGATGACCACAGAGCCAGAATTTGGCATTTCCAGCCTCTTGGAGAGTGAGGAGAAGTGGAATCGGGGAGCAAGGACACTGTGTGACGCAGCAGGACCCCAGAGCACCCTGGGTCCCATCTCCCCGGGAACTCAGCCTGGGATCAAGCCACCCGGACGGAGTCTTCCCAGGCTGAGCGATGCTCCCCTCTCCACCTCTCACTACCCACATGGCTTTCTGGGCAAATCCTGGCTCTGCACCAGAAGGAAGGTCTGAAGTGAAAACAACACTTGTCTCTTCTGAAGAGGTGGACAAAACCCACAGAAACCCAACAAGGGCTGCAGACATCCTGCATGGCACTACCTGCCCGCAGCCAGGAAAACCACTGGATTGAAGCCTGGAGATGTTCACTTGGAGGATCCTCATACCAACCACCAGCCAAACAGGCAAAGTCCGAGGCAGCTGTCCTACTCTCTGCCCAAAAGCCACGATGACCCTCACCAGACAGCCCGGCCCCCTGGCTGCACGCTGCTCGTGCACCACCAGTGATCTTCAGAGCCCACACCCTCCGCCTGGCAGAGCTTCCACCCACGCCGGTTTGCAATTAGGCTGAGAAACGGGTGTGGAATATGCAATGGAGAGCTGCAGTGCAGAGAAAATATCTCCAGCGCAGATGGGATTCTGCCCTAGATTCAGATCGCTTCCCTTCAACAGATGCAAATTTCTTCGCACAGACATGAATGCCAAGAATTAATGAGGATTTTTTTTTTGGACAGAAACTCTTTTACGACGACTCTGCACACTGGAACTAAGGTTCAGAGGCAATTGCAACGACCCCTGATGTTATTTGTTTCCTTCCCAAAGGCAGGGCAGACCAGCAGTAGCTCTAACACCTCCCTTTACACGACATGAGCCAAACCAGG